CCAGCTGTATTTTATGCTTGTTGACAGCATTCAAAGTACATGGCATAAGACCTCTGTTAATCTTTCTTTGGCAATGAAGTACTTTGTTTCCAGCACAGCCTAAAAAATGATAGACAGGATTCATTCTGCTCTTAGAGTGGCAGCGTGGTATGAAATTCTATACATGGCTTTTTGAGGGCACACTTGTAAAGCCCCAGACCCTGATGATCCCTGGGTGTCCCTCCCTTCCTCAGTCTGTTCTGGACCATCCCAACCTACTCAGCAAGGAAAATCTGCTGCAGGGGAAAGCTCAAAGCACTGTGGGCACAAGTCAGTACACTGTGGTGGGAAGTAGTACTGGTCTCTGGAAATCTCTGCATCTCTTTTATCTCATGTGTAAACTTTGAGTCCATTTAGTTTGTAAGTTTTCATTACAATATAAACTTTATTTTGCATAAAACCATGAGGTCTGTGGAATTTTTTAAGGATGTTTGGTATTTCATATTCTGGGAGATTTATTGTGAAGTAAGGATGAAAAAATTCATATACAGCAGAGCAATAATCTAAAGATAAGTTGCTATTAAAGGTACTGGTAAGATACTTTCATATCCTAGTGATATGACAAAGTTCTCAAAGCTGGGCCTGCTAAATGTTGAGCTGTTTCAAAAGGAGGTGGTGGAGCCACCACCCCTGGAGGTGCTTAAGAAAAGACTGGACGTGGCACTTGGTGCTGTGGTTTGGTTGACATTGGTGGTGTTGCACTCAGTGACCTCAGAGGTCTTTTCCAACCTAATTGATTCTGTGATTCTGTTTGTTTATTCTGTGCTAATTAGCTCTAGTCTTAAGCATTCAGATTCTCTGTCTTCCCTGCACTGAATCTTTTCCACTTCTTTTCCACGTGCTGATGACGCTCCTTCATCTCTCCTGTGAATACAAGCTGAGAGTTGTGGTTGTTGAGCCTGGAGAAGAGAAGGCTCCAGCGAGGCCTTAGACACCTTCCGCTATCTAAAGGGGTTATAAGAGAGCTCAGGAGGGACTTTTGACAAGGGCATGGAGTGATAAGTCAAGGGGGTACAGATTTAAACTGACAGATTAGATATTAGGAAGAAATTCTTCCCTGTGAGGGTGGTGAGGCCCTGGCGCAGGTTGCGCAGAGAAACTGTGGCTGCCTCACCTCTGGAAGTGTCCAAGGCCAGTTTGGATGGGGCTTGGAGCAACCTGGTGTAGTGGAAGGTGTCCCTGCCTACAGTAGGGGGTTTGGAACAAGATGGTCTTCAAGGTCCCTTCCAACCCAAACCATTCTGTAATTCAAAGACTGCTTGAAAAACAATCACAGACTGATTTTTAACTGAGCAGTAGTATCCCCATAGAACCTTTAAATAAACTCTCTGAACATATGTTGCAATTTCATTCATTAAATAATGGATTGCCAGCTAATTCATACTCAGCTGAGACACATCCAGTAAAAAAAGAAAAATTTAAAAATCCAAACATACCAGGAAATAATGAATTCAGGAACTGAAAAAGTTAAAATATCTCAAAAGCACTACAGGTTGGATGCAAACCTTTTATGGTTCATTGAGTTTTAGTATATTCTCTCTGATATACTTCACTTAATAACAATACAGGCTATTGTAGTCTTGTCAGTAAATGATAAAACAGTTCAATTACCCCTTCCTTTATATGGATCCAAAAACTATAGTAAAGTATATTTCAAAACTGTTAGGAAAGTAGTTCTGCCAAGGCTTGGCTAATTTTCAAAACTAATTTTTAATCATGTGCTAACTAGTTGATTAAGCTGTTTATTTCATTTTTGTCAGTCTGTAAAGCAATTTGGCTACATGTTTATGATTGCAATAGCATTTTAGCCTGACTCTTAAGGAAGATGAGTTTATGTTAATGCTGCTCTTATCCATCAGTCTGTGCATCCAATACCTTTTGAACAGAATGGCAGAGCTCAAACAGCATGGCAGTGTCAGGGGATTGTCTGAGTTAACTTCCCACTTTCTGAAAAACAGAGGCCTACTAAAAAAGCAGGATCTGAATTACTGCATCTCCTGAAACAAAAAGCAGCTGAAGAGGAGCTGCTGAGGTCTGTGCTCCATAACTGTGGAATACCATATACAAATTATTTGGCATATTATGCCTTTTTAAGAGTTTAAATGATTTTGCAGTAAGTTATTTTACAGACTCTGCTGTTTATTTAGAGTCTTGAAGAAGTGTGTGAATATTTAGATTTAATGCTGCTTTATCTCCCAAGCAACATTTTTTGTGATATAAAGTTAATGAGATATAGACTTAGTTTCAAACAAAATAAAAACAACTTCGCCAAAGTAGAAAGTCTGTAACAACTAATTGGAAACTCAGGCTGACTCTCAGCATAATGAGTTTGCAGTGCTTCACTGAAATGAGGGTCTGATGCAGAAGACTTTTTAAATCACCAAAATACTCAGGATCTGATGTGAGGTTTTTTGTGATGCCAGTAGCTGGACAAAAGGGTGACAAGTGTGATAATTAAAAAGGAATCCCCCAGGAAATCTGATGTGTTGATGTATTGTGATAAATTACGCTGGGAGGTATAAGGTACCCTACCAACCAGAAAGACTTTATGGTTCACAAAGCAGAACCAGTCTGTTGCATAGAAAAAACTAAACTCTTTGTCAGATAATTGTGTGCTATTGGCAGGATAGGGACAGGACACATAAAGGAGGAAGAAAGGAACTAAAAGATGTGTTGCCATATGAATTATACAGGTTTTCTTCCCATTTACCTGGAGAAGCAGTTACCTTGGCTGTTCAGCATTTGCTGCACAGCTTTTGATGTACCTTGTAGAGTCCAACTGTGTGTCCTGGCAAAGATCAGCATTTTTCTAGCAGGACAGTGGCTCAGTCATTAAAATGTCTTGTCATGCAAATTATAGGTTGTATAATAAACCTGCGGATTTTCTGTAGAGTGGATTTAAGATTGATACTTTAAGTAAGGGAATGCCGTTGATCAAATACGTGAGGATGCTGGACATCAAATATTATGTCCAAGATTTGGGGAGCTTTCAGTTCTTAAATAGCAGGATACAGGATTTACTGAGATTAATTATTATATGAAAGTGCCTTCGCAGATTATTTTGGAGCCCTGGACTGTTGACTCCAGTGATTTAATTTACCGAGGTCTCCAATTTTCTAATATGCTTAGAAATGCTTTTCTGGTGTATGCAAACTAATATTACAGCATAAACCTTAGTGCAACTGTAAGAATGCTACCTTGATAAAAGATCAATGAAATTAAAAGGATTAAGCCCGGGCCAAATCCGTGACAGCTTTGCTTACCACAGCATAGGAAAGCTTATGTGGAACACTGAACAACCTTGTTTCTCCAGTTGGGGTAAATTGTGACTGTCACAGAGAAAAAAGTGCTTTTTCTCCGGAAGCCGTTCCAAGAAAGGAGGGAACACACTTTCATCTTTCACCTTGAAGACACATCATGTCATAATTTAAAGAAAGCATGTGTTGTAAATGGATGGCAACAACAGTTCCTTGCAGGGAATTTTTGCAGGTTCATCAGAGCTTCACTCCAGCTGGATTTGTGCAAATGTAACTGGACATCTGCTGAGGTAAAAGGGAGAGTGAGGGTGAGTACAGAAATGGGATAAAGCTGCCTTGGACACTGAGGTGAAGTAGCTGGAGAAGTTTCAGGTTAATAACTTCACAGTTCACTCAATCTAGCAGCAATTTTTATAAGCATCTTCTTTGCAAAGTATTCCTTATTGTTCCTTTACAAGGGAATTTCTTGCCTCACTTCTCCATAGCTGTGTATCTTGCTGTAATGAGAGGCTTTGGAGGCTCTTGTGGGAAGTAGAGAAAACAAACTTTTATTGTCCCTTGAACGTACAATTATGCTGTCTTTGTGTCTGCATTGTCCTTTGCATGAGGATTCAAGACACCTTAGAGCTGAGTGGCAGCACTAGCACAGGGCAGGACAGTGCAGCTCCAACCTCCCTCTGGGGTCCTGGAGGATGAGGACAGCACAGGTAACAGGGCCTTGGGTACCTGCCACATTTGTCTTTGTCTCCTCAGTCTGGCCCAGTGGTTGTGAGCTCCTTGCCAGCTCATCTGCCTTAGAACCTTTTCTCTGGCTGTCTGGATCATCAGTGTTTCAGAGACCTTTTCTCAGCTCCCATTTAAGAAATGTAATAACAGACTCGCAGAAATGTGTTAACCTTGTTTTATGAAAGATGTTTGTTAGGGTGCAAAACTAATTTTTATACTGTTTTCACAGATGTTCTTAGATGAGAACTATACTTCATGAAATCAGCTTGTATCTGTGCTGCAATTCAATGTCAGCTTGATTTATTTGTTCTTCACCTTACTCCCCCCAAAATCCTATGACAAATTAAGTGAATGTTACACCTTCTTCTTTTTCTTTTCTTTTTATTTTTTGGTTTCTTTTGGGTTGTTTGTTGTTGTAGAACTACAGCACTGTAGGATGTGCGTCTGTATCTGGTAGTCTCTGTTTCAGTAGATCGTTATATTTAAATTATTTCACATGTTGCAACTTATTTTAGAGGAAATAGGGTTAACAACATGATAAAGCACAATGCTTTATTTCCAATAATTATTATATCGTGGTATCATGGAATGGTTTGGGTTGGAAAGTACCTTCAAGATCATCTGGATCGAACCCCTCTGCCATGGGCAGGGACACCTTCCACTAGAGCAGGTTGCTCAGACCCGATCCAACCTGGCCTTGAACACTTCCATAAATGGAGAATCCACATCTTCCCTGGGCAACCTATGCCAGTGCATTAGCATCCTCACCATAAAGAATTTCTTCCTAATATCTCATCTAAATCTGTCCTCCTTCAGTTTAAGACTTTAGTCTCTTTTTATTCATTTATTTTTTTTTGTAATTAAGATGAACACAAATGAACCACTAACTGCAAAAACGACATTCAAACACTGTCTTCATCTTTCTTCTTAAATAATAACCCTCTGTGGGGTTTCTGTGCTTTTCCCATGTTGTTTCAGATATGCCAGGTAGCCCACATAACCAGTTTACCTTCAGACCCCTCCCACCACCGCCTCCACCACCTCACGCCTGCACCTGCGCCAGGAAACCGCCTCCCACGGCCGACTCTCTCCAGAGAAGATCTATGACCACCCGCAGCCAGCCCAGTCCTGCTGCCCCAACTCCCCCCACCAGTACCCAGGACTCAGTGCATCTCCATAACAGCTGGGTCCTGAACAGCAACATCCCGCTGGAAACCAGGTACAGACCAACCTTTGGTGCACAAAATATCTCAAGCGCTGGGGAGGGAGAAAAGAAAAAAAAATAAAATGGGAAGGTGGCCTGGCAGTGCCATGAGATGGTGATGGGCAATTACAAGCTTGTCATTCAGGACATGCTGGTGTGTTTTGATTTGAGCAACCATGTGAGGCCTTATTTGCTTGGTTCGTATGGATCGTTAATACTCATAAATGCACGTTTTGCAAAGTTTTGGGAGATGTTGATTTCTTTAAGATGTGTGGATTACATGAGTATTTTGTGGTTGTTTGCAGTCAGGATTTGTGCTTGTGCATTTGTCTTGCTCTGCCACATTCTCCCAGGACCATTTTGTAATCAGCAAATAGAGGTTTGGTTTAATCAGTGCACTCTGGCACTTCTGGAGTCGCACAGAGTCACACAATGGTTAGGATTGGGGTTGGGGTGGGAAGGGACCTCTGGAGCTGATTTCGTCAGGCTGTAGGTTTCCTGCAGATTAGGTAGGAAATAATACTAAAATAATATTTTCCTCAATGCATATTTAAATACTTTATTGAATCTATACACAAAGAATGTAATTTGATAATCATTTGGTAATGGAGCAATGATACAGGCCCAAGGCAGGTATTGAGCATGGCAAGCCTTACCCTTGGGAGCTGGGAAAGGGAGGTTCAACTTTAGGATCATTCACAATTTACATGAATAATCTACTCTGAAATATATTTGATCACAAACACATTCTATATTCAGACAACCTGTATTTCAGTACTCAAAGTTCTGCACAGTCTCCTCTGACTTTTTTGCTATAATAAGCTTTTTTGTTTGTTTCTTTCTTCCTGATAAGTATTAACTAATTTGATGGCTTTCAACTACAGTGTGTTTGCTGACTTGATTTTTAAAACAAGACTTTGATTTTCTTCAGTCCTCTTCATTGTGAGCAAAACACCAGGAGGTTTTAACTAGGATTTCCTTTAGATTTTGGCATGTAAAGTGCATGACTCTCTGTGAAAGTTTTGTTTGCTGAAGCAGGAGAATGTCTAACATCCACCTAATTTGATCCAGAAAATAAAAGGTATTACACATGGAAATGTTTTCTTTTTAAACACATATGTCCAAGGTCCAGTTATCAGAATTAATCACTGAAACATAAATTTGGTTCTCTTTTAAAATGGTTGTTTTTATTTTATTACAAAACTTAATTTTAATATCCATCTTTAAACACTTAACTGCTCCTCATCAGAAGTGTTAAGTTTTAGTTCTGCTATTAAATTGGGATTGAAGAATACGCCAATTCATTCTGAAATAATACTTTCCTTATTTATCTTAAGGACAAATCTCAAAAAGAATCAAGGAGGATGGAAACTTTTCTCCAAAAGAGAACATAAACAACATTTTAGTTCAGCTACTCCTTCTAGAGCTAAAAGAGTCTGCTTACACAGTCTTTATAAAGATGAATCTCTGTCGTTTCTCATGTAACAATCTCATATATCTGTCTATACCTTCTGCTGCAAGAAGGCTGATCCCTCGGTGTTCTGTACCCTTGAAGTACCTTTTGGTTCTCTTCAATTAACAGCCAGGTAGATCTTGTTCAGCCTCCCTGCATCCCTGTTCACTGGATTCTCATCAGACCTCACTGGGGGAAAATATTTCACAATACATTTCTCTTTTGAGTTCAGTTTAATTATTCTGGTTTCTTATTATTTTTTTGCAAATTCAAAGCTTCTCAAACACAAATACGGAGATATATAGGTAGATCTATAATTATATAAAGGGCTGTGAGTTGGATTAGGAATTCAGAATGGAAAACATCCTTTGGGCTGCACATTATTCATTCACTAAGTCTGGGAATTTTCCGCTTTCCGGCCCTTCAGTGGTTGTTTCAGCTGATTTCATGCCCCCTCTGGTTGCTCCCTGCAGCCTCCTAAGAAGCTGGCTGAAAGGCTATATAATCCAAAAGGAAATCTGTGAGTCTGTTTGCCAAAATGTATCTGCAGTTTATGTGCAGACAAGTGCTACAGCAGGGGAATGTTGTAATAAAAAACATTTGTGATCACCACTTCCCAGAAGTCTATAGTACACACACAGCCTTAGAGAAAAGAAGGGCTTGCAGCTTGTTTTTCCTTCCTTTTACAGTGAATGATTCAGCTAGAATTGAACAGATACTTTGGCATAATATCTGGATTCTCTTGATTTCCTTCTTCGTTAATATTTAGCTACCCATTAAAAATAATCCTACAAAATAAGGGGAAACATGTTAATGGCAGCCATGTTTCTGTGCTAAATCTTTAATAGTACCAAATCTACCTAATATCTACATACCTAATGTGTCTAAGCAGGTTATTTTTTTTCAGTTTGGAACATTTGCATCAAAAAGAAGACTTAGACAGTAATGTATTCCCTACTGCAACAACTAGGCAAAAATCAGAATGCACATGTTCAGCTTTTTTTCCAGCTGTATCTCCTGTTAATCCATAATCAGCACATGTGCTTGATGTTTTCTCTACTGCTGTGGAATATTACAGAATTTTCAGACAGGAGAATATTTCCTAGAACTAATCATGTGACTGTAAAACCTATTCACTCTGGACAGTCAGAAATTTAGCAAGTTTATGAGTCTGCTCATAATGGTAATGTGTCATATTTATGTCAAAGAAAATTCTATAGTTCTGAAAAAGTTTGCAGTTTTCTGATTAAACATGTATTCTTACCTAATCAGACTTTGAAAGCCTAGATTAGAACACAAAAGGCTGTAGTAAAGATGTATGCTGAGGTATGTGTTCTGAAAGTTTTTTTGGAGGGTAAAACTTGGTTATATTTTTACAGAAAAGGGCAAAACAGAAATTCTGTTTTGTGCTTTATCTAGAGGTGTTATATGCACTAATCTGCCAAACAGTTTTGTCAGAACTTAGTCTATTAACCCAACTCTTTAATAACAAGACTGAGTTGGAAAGATGAAATGACTTGTTCAAGTTCACAGAAGCTTTTGTCAAAGCCAAGGTTAGAGTTTATCTGTGTGTCATTGCCAAGGCCAGCTGTTTAACTCTGGCAATTATTCTGATTAAAAGCAACTCGAACAAAAATAAGAATTAAGAACACCTTTAAAACTTCAGAGGATGTGTCATTGAACAGCTGTTGATCAAGAAATTGGAGAAGAGCTGTAGCTATAGGAGGTGTAACAGCTCAAGCTGGTGGCTGACTGTGCTGCACCTTCAGCACCGTAATGCAAATGCAGGCTCTGCCTGTGTGCATGCACAGCCTGTTTGGGAAGAATAACATATTCATTATTAAAATTACTTAGGAACATGAAGTAATTTCATTGTCACACTGAGAAATAATTTGTAAGTATTGCCAGAAAAAGACTGCAAGGATCTCTCACAACGCATAAAAACTCGGAAACATTGATTCTCTTTTTTAGGGTAATGTTATTGGGCTCTTACATAAATTGATTTTTTTCTTCTGCGCTAGAATAAAGTACTTGCAACCTATTGCCTATTCCCTTCCATTCCACTAAAATAATTGTTTTTTCAGGTTTCACAGATACTTTGCTCTAATGTTTCAAATCTTATGATTTACAGTGTAATACATTGTCATTATCTCTGACAACCTCATCTGTACATAGCTTACTACTTTTTATGGAGTAGGTATTAAACCCTGACAATTCAAAGTGGTGTTTTTCATTTGCTCCATGCCCTGCTAGTTCACTCAGTTATTTGTTTCCATATCTTGCTTTTTTGTTCAGTTTTGTGGGGTTTTTTTCTGCTGTTTGCTATTTATTTTCCCACTTCAGTCAAATTCCCAAATAAGAAGTAAAAACTAGATGTTAAGTAGGGATTCTTACCTGGCATTTTCTCTCATCCTCCCTATACTCTGATAAACCATTGGACACACTTACTTTGAGTAAAGCTTTGCATTTAGGTCACCAAAACATTGGAATTTTTAAGTTTTCTGTCTAAATCTCGAAACTTAGCTAATTTTGATTTTGTTTCAAAGTGGGATTTGAAACTAGTCCTGTTTTGTGCTTCAGTATTTAACATATTTGCTTGTTCCTTCATTTTTTAAATCAAATTTCTTCCTAGTTCCTCTAACCCATTTAGCAGTGTTGGCAGTAAGGTTAATGCTGTGCTGAATGGACTGAAATCTCCCTTCACTGCACTGGCAATGAGCCAAGTCCTGTGGAAAAAGACAGCTTAATTTAAGCAATCTTATCACCATGGTAATAGCTCCTCTAAAGGGACAGTGAGGTACCAGACCATAACCCTGGGATTCAATTATCATTAATTTATATAAAACTTTGAAGTACTAGAATAATAAGAGAAGTATTTGGGGTTCAAGGCAGTTATGATTTTCAGTTACTATTCAGCAATATTTCAGAGCCCTAAACTTTGATTATGTCTCTAAAGACTTGAGAACTTGGAGAGTTTTGGGGTGCAAGAAGTATATTCAGATCATCACATAGATGGAGTCATTCCTTTCTCCATTATACAGTTATTTAAGGTACATAGCTATGAGTAGCTGGATTTTTTTTTCTAAAAGTATCTTGATTATAATTCTCTCATATATGTGGGGGGATCTTGACAACAAGCAAGAGATTTATTCTGTACTAGGGTTTTCCTTTGTTCTTTTTAAATCAAGCATATACTTATTTGTGCTCTTCAAAAAGTACATTTGATAGCCTTTCAAATCACACAGTCCCTTTCTGTGTAAGCTGGAGTAGTTCTAGAAGCAAAAATAATTAAATAAAAATGCATATCTAGACACACACCAACATGGTTTGCTGTGAACTCTTTGCAAGGTTTGTTCTTTCTCCTTGGTCTCTGCATTTGAGCATCTTGTGGGTCCTGTGAATCGTTCCTCCAGTGCAGAGACACAGAAAGCACTTTTGTGCCTACCTTTTTTTCCCTGTTCAATGTTTCCATAGCAAACAGAATGGCTTTAACAGCTCCCAAGGCACACAGGTGTTCATGATCATAAGCCACCAAGCAGGGAGACAATTTCTATTTGAACAT